CAATTTGAAGCTAAGGTTTCTATAAAGGTTTTAATTCACTCATTTGCCCCCCCCCCCCCCCATTCATGTCACACGCACGTAACCTGGAAAGGACTTTAACCGATGAGGAGCCCCCCAAACTTGAGTCTATTTAATTTTTTTAATAAAACTAGTGCGCCTTGGCAAAAATTGTTTTCTGATCTTTACTGCACATGTGACGGCGAGCCACTGCCGCGCTTACTTGGCCAAGTTTGAAAACTATTTCATAACCCCTTTAAAAGCCTGCAAACATAACATTCTTTGCGACAGGGACTCTCAAACTTTTGTGATATCAGCGAACAAAAATGTATTGTTATTGTTAGCCGAGGAGCCCCTTCCACTCTTGGCATTGTTGCAACTAAGTGTATGACAATAATGTAGGAACATTTGAGGAAGTTCAGGTGTTGAGAGAATCCTAAGGATACTGTACTAGGAACCCTGTTCGAGAACCCGAGCTTCAGGATATTTGGCTAGAAAGTTGGAGATAGCGTAGGCTAGACAATAATTCTAAACACACTGCTGACCACTTTTTTTTTTAATTTTGATTCTGACATCTATTTTATATTATGATTAAGTGTTTAGTGATGTAAAACCAACTGAGGCCATACTGTACCAAACGATTACTTTAAAAACAACTGAACAATCTGAAGGTTTTGAAAGATTCAGCAGCCTAAAGCTGGGATAAACAGTCAGCTGTCTTCAGAAAATTGTACACAAAGCTGAACAATACTGAAGGTTCGTAAAGCTTAATCACTGATATACATTGGCGATCAAAATTAAGCAGAAGGAACACCAGAGTGAATTTTAGTCTAGGCAAAAATTAAAGTATGCTAGAACTGGGGCACATCATTGGAAACCAGAGGTGTAGCGCAAGATGTAATGACACAAAAAGACAAATACCTCAACATAAGAAAAAAAACATCTATGAGCACCGAGACACAAGTTTAATGGTAACCAGACAAAAGCTCACCGGACAGAAGCTCATCAAACAAAAGCTCACCTGTTTTGAGACAATAGCTCAACTTTCTTTTTTCTTGGCTACCGGGTGAATCACGAGCTGGGCTAAAGTGTGTACGCAATGGACATTGCATGTTTTTAGAAGAAACCCCATCTCATGCAACGGTGTCGACAGGTAAGCCATAACAGACACAGAAGCAACGATTTGGGTCCAAAATTTAGGCCACCAAAGTGAGTGGAGCTGAAGCTGATAAGATCAATCTGGGTTAACTCAAGGTATGCAAGAACTGTCTGGAAACTATCTGCAAGGGGTTTCAGCCCTACTGAAAAAAAAACGTTTGTAGCCTATATGAAAGTAAACAAGTTCATACCGTTAACAGTTTAGCCAAACCGGCCACCAGTTTGTCAAAGGGGTCGCCCGTACGGCTCAAAGGGGTCCCCCGTATGAGCCATAACGGTCAACTATTAGGGCAAACAGGTCACTTGTTTGGCAAACGGGTCAGTTGTCTGGGCAAATGGGTCACTCGTTTGGGCAAAGTTGTCGTAAGTTTGCTCAAACCGGTGACCATGTTCCAAGGACAGGTGGCCGGTGACCGGCAAGCTGTGCCGGTTTAATCAAACAGCTCTCCAGAGCCCGTTTAATACTGAACGTACAGATCGGGGGGATGGGCACGCCAGTTTCAGCAGTGGCAGCCTGTTTCGGGAAAGCCGGGAGCGCCGGTTCATCGATTTACGATCGTCCGCTTAATGCAAGTAATTAATTCATATTTTGATTGCGCTGATATTTGCTTATACTGCAACAACAATAAAAAAATTTTTACGTAAACATGCGACGTTGCCGAGCCGATATTTTTTACAAAATTTTAAAACTTTCGCGTTGTTTTTTGCCTCAGTTTACTTAGTCAACTCGAATCTCTCTCGCAGAGGACGCGACCACGTGAAAGAATATACTTCTTGACTCCGTTTCGCCTCAATTCAAGACTCAGCGAAGGTAACGCGCGAACACGTGGCTGCACGAACATCGAGCATGGCGAGAACAGGCCCACTGTTGCAGCAGTCGAATTACGAGCTCGCGCTGGGTGATTTTTTCGCTCGGGCGCAAGCAGAGTTTCAGGCCGGCGCGCGCCATTTCCAGCGTTCAAGCAAATACTTTACTAGGAGGAATACATTCCACTCTGCTCATTTGCATTAGACAGAACGTCTACAGCGCCGAATCCAGCACTGACGGCATGGAGGTCCGCGTGAGTCCACGCGCAAGTGCACGTGGATGTCCGCGGCGGCAGCGGCGGTGTCGTCTCCGATTCCACCTAAAGCCCCTTCATGTTTGAAAAGTAGCGCAAGGTGCGTCGATTCACGAGGCGCGTGGAACGTGCGACCCTTGGGAAGATCATGGCGGCACAGCGCAGCAAAGTATTTAGCGCACCACTGAACTAAAGTTTAGACGCCATTTTATTCTTAGAAGTGGCGCGCTGCACGTGTCATTGCCACAACGATGTATTTGGTATGTAGAACATCAATATCATCGATAGCCGAGACCTCCCCGACGATAGATGACTTTCGCCAAGCCCAGATAACCTGTCCGCGCCGAGGCTATTGTATTTGAGAGGAGTGGAATGTATTCCCCCTAGTAAAGTATTTGGTTCAAGCGTCCTGAAAAAATTCGCCTGCTTTCCGAGGCTGCAAACACGGCGTAGTCAACTTTCTGTGGCAATTCGAAGAGAGGATGAAAGCGCGTGTACAGTGGTACAGCGGATGGTGCACCCTCTCCCCTAGCATTGACTACAATAAAAATAAAAAATAAAAAAAAAACCTAACCGCGATTTTTTTTCTTTCTTTTTTTTTATATAGAAGGGTGGGGTATGTCCGGGCGTCCTGCGCCTTGACCTCGCTCTCTCCCTCCTGTCTGGTCAGCTCTGTCTCGCGCTGCAGAACCCAGGGATCCTGGGTTCGAGCCCCACCCCTGCCCGTTTCGATCTGGATGAGCATCGTACCGGCGTGCGGTCGTGTATCACTACTGCGTGATGCACGTTAAAGACCCCAGGCTAGCGGCTGTACCGCACTGGCTAAATTTCTCATCTACAGTTGGGAGACTCGTCGCCCCTGTGAGGCAGACCAAGTTCTAGGCTGTATAAACACACACACAACCCAATTTTTTGGTCAGCTCTGTCACGCGACCCACAGCAGCGCGCGAGCTACACGCTAATAAGCATCGAGATCTGGAAGGGCGCGCCTGACAGCCGCTTTTTTCTTTCTCTGCTTGTTTTCATTTGCAGTTTGAACTTGGCTCGTCCTACCTGCTTCGATCTGTCGTCTAAAGGCCCGTTCACACTCTTCCGACCGAGTAAGACCGAAAGAGACCAGACCGGTTTTTAAGACTCTTGCGATCTCTTAGGACCAGCTCCGCTGCATCGCATCCAGTCCTAAGAAGTCGCAAAAGGCTTACAAACCCGTCTGGTCTCTCGGTATTACTCGGTCGCAAGAGTGTGAACGGCGCTTATCCCCGCAGTCTTATTAGGATGTCTCTCGACAACGTATTGGATGTGCACCAAAGCTATCAGTGTTCAAAAACTCCTACACGGAAATCGGCCACAAGCGATTCTTCAAAGAAGTCAGGAATTCTTGCGGTTTGGTTGGGTTCGGCAAATGACAGCTTGTGCGCCGCATCGTGTTGAAACTTCCAAGGAGCCGTTCCCTCTCGTTTTTGTGTTTGTGTGGTTGTCCTGCTTTGACCGTGTCGACATATATTTTGGATTACATCTTTCAAGTCACCTATTATTATGGTAAGTGCACTGCAACCTACTTATTGGCAACGATTGACCGTTCTTCTACGCGTACTCTTCCAGATTATCCATAGAATTATGCATCGTCTAATCTCGCGGCAGCGAGGAGAATAATTTTCTCCAAAGTCTGCCATATAGTCTGAAATTACCTCGACTGCATAAAACCTTAGAGTGCCTCTTCACATTTTACAGATCGCTTGCACGTTTGTACTTGTCTACGGAATAAGTTGTAATAAACTTCTAGGCGAATTGAAAACGATATTTTGTGTCTGTTTTCCTGTCCATTTGCAAGCACCTGCGCGAGAAATAGGTCTATGAGTTTCGGGACGTCTTAAATAAGTTTAAGATAACTACCCTTCCAGACGATACCCATCTAGGGCTAGCGAATAAATTGCCTATCCGAATGGCGCGTTCAAATGTGTGGTCACGTGCCTGGTTGAACGGGCACCCGTATCAAAACGGTTACCGTTTCGAAAGGGTACCCGTATCCCATAATCACGTTTGATCCAAACGGATCAACAGGTTTGCCACCCATTTGATTCATACGGGTACCGTATCAAACGGGTACCCGTATCCCATAACCACGTTTAATCCAAACGGATCAACAGGTTTGCCACCCATTTGATTCAAACGGGTCGTCCAAAACGGTACCCGTATCGAACGGGTACCGTATCAAACGGGTACCGTTTCAAACGAGTACCCGTATCCCATAATCACGTCTGATCCAAACGGATCGACAGGTTTGCCATCCATCTGATTTAAACGGGTCCACCAGTTTTCCACCCGTTCGAATTTCAAATTGTTTTTTTTTTCAGTAGGGAGGTACGCCGAGAACTACAAAGACTGCTAGAGGCAGCCTGTACGGGACTGCATTTGCTTCTAACCAATTGATAAATAAACTTGGTACCACTACTCAACAAGCCATGCATCTATCAGATTTAATTCATTGTTGTGTTTTAGTGTCCCACGCATGCACCTAAATTGTCTGCGATGAATTTTTCACCTGGTGAGCTTTTCACCGGTTCGCTTCTCTCCGGTGAGCTTATGTCCAGGATTTGAGTATAATATATGTCAAGAGTAGACTTAGCATTTGTTCCTGTTAAGTTTGATTGCAATAGTGCCTTGCCATTTCTTCTTTACGCCAATTTACTCACCTATCAAGTCCTTAACTATCTATTTAGGAAGCTTTCCCTTCATTGCCGACCCAGTAAGGCAGCAGTTTGTCAGGGCCTCAGTTGCAAATACCATGGCCGCGAGTTCCTGAGCGTAAATGGACGGCTGCTTCGTGTCGACACGCTTCAACTGCGCCTCAAAAACCGCAATGTCTCCAAAGGTTATCTGAAACATAAAAATAGAACCAAATACGGTGATTACATCCACATGAATGCCTTTTAGATGAGCGCATGTACACGAATGGCTGTGACATGCTGGTGGTAAGGAAGCGTTTGATGAACAGAGCTAGCTAATACTAAAGAGGGTAATTAAGCTAGTTTGTTAATTGTATTAGAGGTTTAAAGGCACCAAAAACAACAACGACGAAGACGAAGGTAGGCAACACAAGGTACATTCGGAAGTGTTGTTTATTCGGAAAGAACATTTACTATATAGAGTTCATCGGCCAGCCTAGTCAGCATCACGTCGGCGCAAAGCATTTTTGTTTAACAGGGCGATTGATATCTCACTTACACGCTCTTTTCCTTTTTCACAAATGTCATATGCCTCATGCAGATCTCTTCTTGTTTTGTCATTGTATCTGCGAGAATCTTAACTTAAGGCGATACCGGGGAACACGGGCATCTGCTGCCGTGAATGGCGAGCTGGCCAGACAGTCTAGCTCGCATGGCAGCCACGTGCTCACGGGCACGGTCATTCACCCACCTGCCCATCTGGCCGATATGCACTGCTCCTCACAATATTGGTATCTGATACACAACGCCCACGGCACCCAGCAATTTTATCCTTGTGTTTTATGCTGCAAGGCTAAGACGGCGGCTTGGGCCTGTTGATTCTGTGGAGAGCCGTGCCATCTTATTGTGTGCCGAGAATATCACAGTAATGCGGTACCGCTCACCGGCTTCCTTGAATTGTGTGACACTGACTGTAAGTATGGTACCACCTCTGGTCTCACATTGGGCCTCTCACGATCAGGTTTGTTTATACCTTAACTTTTTTTAACAGGCTTTTGGCGGCCTGAATTATACACATCTGCAGGTAACTTGCTCCTGCATAAACAAACCCACTCGTGAGAGGTAAAATATGAAACTAGTTCTGATACCATATTTACACTCAGTGTCACACAATTAAGGGAAGTCAGTCAACGTTGCCGCATTCCTGTGGTGTTCTTGGCACCCAATAAGATGGCTCGGCTTTGCCACCAAATCAACAGCCCAGAGCAGCTGTCTGAGCCTTGCAGCATAAAACACAAGAATAAATTTGTTGAGTGTGCCTTAGGCATTGTGTATCAGATACCACTATTGTGAGCAGCAGTGTATATTGGCCAAATGAGCAGGTGTATGAATGAACGTGCCCAAAATCATGCGGCTGCCACGCGAGCTAGCCAGTCTGGCCACCTCGCCATTCACTGCAGTAGATGCCCCTGTTCCTTGGTGTTGCACGATGTTAAGATTCTTGCCAGATAAAATGGCAAAACAAGCAGCTAGAGAACTGCATGAGGAATATGATATTTAGGAAAAAGGAAAGGATGTGTAAGTGAGTCATCAATCGCACTATTAAACAAAAATGCTTTGCACGAAGTGATGATGACTAGGCTGGCCGAAAGGGCTTATATAGTAAACTTTCTTTCCAAATAGACAACAGTTGCGAGTGTGCCAAGGCTAATAGTGATCAACAGTAATGATTGCTATTAGCTATATTCCCAATATCCATGCAAGTGTCCCTTTAAGAGAACTTGCACATAGACTGCAGTATGTGCCTACAACTATAATTACGCTTCTCCACTCTGTGATTGCGGCCTCCGGAAGTTCTGAATTGGCAATCTTGCAGCATGCAGCAGTCGACTGGGGAAGTATTATCGAAGCTGAAGAAAACATCCGCTGTCGAGCACATTTCAGGCTTGATCTGCGTCATTTATTAAAGCAATTTCCTGTTTTTATTTTTTTTTTTTTTTGAAAATGCTAGTCTTTAAAGGCAACGCCCAGAAATTTTTATGAAACTTCTACACATTCTGCGATCGAGCATGAAATGTGTCCCAGAGTGGATACAGTAAAACCCCAATTATGCGTCCCCGGTCTACGCGCGGCTGGACGAGTCAGCAGAAACTCAGTTATTTCTTTTGAAGTTCCATGGTGATAATAAAGATTGATTAGCACCTCCATTACACAATTTCTAGGTTACATTCATATTTGCATGAGGGTTCTAGGTTCTTCAGATTCCAGCAGATTATCAGCTTAAAGGCTATTTACAAGTTCTGCATATCTTTGTCACATGAGGCTGAGCACCGTAATTGTTTTTTATTATTATTCAATGTTTTCGCGCAGTCTCCTGAAAGTCATATAATCGAGGCACCACTATATCCACACATATATATATATATATATATATATATATATATATATATATATATATATATATATATATATATATATATATATATATATACATATATCCTCCAGCTTTGAAAACGCCTAACCCGGTTGAATGCGGCGCGCTCTAAAGTGGCTGAATGAGAACTTCCGGTGGCCGCATTCGTGGAGTGCGGCAGCATCACTCGGAAAATCATCGAAAGATAGTGCACCTAATACACTATTTCCATCCAGTTCCCAGAATTCATAAGGTGTGCTTAGAGGCAATGAGGGATATATACCAGTTCCAAAAATTGTTCCCTGGGTTTTAACGGAATTATATTTAGGTTATAAAAATGATCAGCAGAAAGCAGTCCTGACTTTGTTGGGATGGCCTAAGCCTGCATGAATAGACATATACAACATTTAATTAAAAAAAAAAAAAACTTTTAAAGAACAAGGACGGGTCTGCTGAAACCTTGCGAACCATGAAAAAGGCAAATCACTGAAATTTAAGGACACGACAGAAACAGAGACAACACGACACAATTCACAAATGAAACCAACAATACAGTCAGCACTGTTTAAAGAACCATTATCTATCTATGCCTTAACATTGCTGAGCTTCTTTCAAAGATTCCAATGCCTACCTCTTCACACATCCTGAAGGAATGTGGACACCTAGACCTTATATCACAAGGGCAGTAAGTATAGCTATGGTTCTAATAGTTGAATCTCTCTAATAGGCACATTTTTGCTAGAACTTATGGTTCGTTCACACTTCTAAAAAGCAGTCTTGCTGCCGACCGAATTTGCTCGCCAAAAAAAGACCGGACTGTTCAGGCTTACTACTCCCAGCCGTGCCCGTATGATGTACCAGGGAAATCAGTTTCCCTAGTACAACCCTGCCGTGCCAGTGCGCGTCGCGGAGGAAGTTAGGAGGTCAGCTTTTAACAAACACCATGCATTATTTCGAGTAGGTTACCTAAGCTCATTGCTCAGTGACAGCCAAGAAATATGCGAGCATCGAACGGAACCTGTCCACGGCACGGGGTCTGAATTTCGACATGGCGAGAGTGAAGGAGCTAAAAGACTGTTTGCAAACATGTTGCCTGCCAGTGCGACAAAAAGAAGAGTTTGGGGAGAGAACGCACTGGATTTTCGGTAATCAAAAGGGGACCGAGCAGAGCACAAATTTGAAGATTAATAATTAGCGAAGCATCATCGTTCAGATGCGACTCGTGTTCTCACCTAATGGGCAGTCAAGGCTGACATGACACTCGTGTTCAATCCGCGCTTCACACTGACCCCTTTTAGGTGACACAGAAAATCGGTGCTAAGGCCTCACGTTTGTCCAGGTTGTGTTGGTTTCGCCTGCCATGAAGTGTCACTCACCGATGAAAACACAACAAAAAAGTCATTGATGTATCATCTGCTAAGCGAGATTTAAAATGACCTGTGAACGTCTGTCACGTCAAAAAGGATGCAATAGACCTTTTTTTTTAGAGCTGCACCTACCTCCGCTGGCACCAAAAGGCAGTGTGCTGTCGCAACCCGGCTGTAGCTGACGACAGAAAAAGGCCGAACAAGATAAGGGAGGCAAGCGGCAAGGCCGTTGCAAGCGGCAAGGCCGTTGCAAGCTGAGGACAGACAGCTGCTGCCACTCCATATCACAATCGAGACAGACAGCTGCTGCCACTCCATATCATACTATGAGCGGCCTCATTTCACCTATGTACAGCTGCACTTCAAAAGAGCAATGCACATGCTATTTCTGTAAGCTGAACAGCAAATTGAGGCATGAAAATTGACGCTGTGTGTAAACATAGACAGTAAAACTCCAAACCCAAGCAGGGTCGGCTCTCACACCACAATTCAGTGCTTTACCGTCACAGATATTGCCTACCCTGATTTCGAAAAAGTCTTTCCTGTATCAGCATTCAGTTTAAATTAAAAAAAAAAAAAAACTTACGGAATCACAGAGAATGGTAGCAGCAGTAGTACTCATTTCGGGATACGATGAAGCTCGTTAACCATTTAACGCAGGGAATTAAACCAATGCGTCGATAAAAAAAATGTTTTAAATTTTATTTTTTCCTTTGTATACATGTTTGTAAGTACGGCCTACGGGCGCCGCCATCTTGCTTGCCAAGGGGTACTTAGGTGCACTGTGGGCCGCGCCATTATCCGACTACAACGCCGTCTCAAGGCATCGTAATTAGATTATGGCGCAGCTCACGCGCTCTCCAGCTAGGAAGATGGCGGCGCCCAGAGGACGTACCTGCAAATGTGTATATGTAATCGATTACTAAAGTCATTTTTGGTGCAAATTAACTTCTAAGAAAGAAATTTTTTATGCCGCAAATTTGCGACATCGGACAGTTAGGTCTGGATAAATAGGTTATACTGTTTCACCTTACGCCCGAATGCAGAGGACGCTACGCTGTAGCCTCAACCTCCTGTGCTCTGGCCTCGGCGGCCCTAGCCTCAGCGTCCCCCAGTCAGGTCCTGGTCTCAACCAGAAGACCAGGACCTGACTGGAGCAGGTTGAGACCAGTACCATCCTGGCTTCAGTCTCGGTGGCCCTGGCTTCGGCCCCGTTGGCCCTGGCTTCCACCTCATTGTCATGGCCCTGGCTTTGATCTTATTAGCCCTGGCTTCAGCCCCGGTCTCAGGCTCGCTGGCCCTGGTCTCGACATTGTTGGCCCAGGTCTCGCCGGCCCGAGTCTTGCCCTCCTTTATCTGGGCCTCCTTGGACCTAGCAGAGGCCTCTTCAGCAGAGTCCAGGGCAGGTACAGCGAAGACAGGCCCTTGAGCTTGTGATGCAACGTCCTCAGGGTCCTCAGAAGATGCACTGAGCTATAAAGAGCAAATATAAGCAGTAAGGATAGATTATCAGAGTTGTACAACAAAGTATAACATTGGATGTCCTCAGCTACTGCTTCCCAGAAGTGACCTCTGACAAACCCGCAAAGTTGGCCACTCCCGTTGTCCACCAACTTTTTCTAATGCTGAGGAAAATAACATCACATGTCATCTGCCCTCACAGTGCAAAGGTTACTGAAACAGTATATATACAGTCTCCAATTACTTCAGTGGCCTGAACAGATTGCAGTTTGCATGAATGAATAATTGGTAAGTACACTTGAAAGAGCAAAAATGACACTGATAAAAATATATCTAATCAAGCACCAAAATGGCAACATAATATGAATACTGATATGCTCTCCGTAAAATTAACACTTTCTAACAAAAATGCTTTTATACATACCCTGTGACCTTTCAGCTCCTGGTAAAGCTTTTTGAGAAGCTTGTCCTCCATAGTTTCTTTTTTTTTTCCTTCTTCTTCTTGTGGACCGCGTCTTCTGCAACGAGTGATTTAAAAAAAAATGAGCAAGATTTGCTAAATTTCGTGCGGTCGCTGTTGGAAGCCGCAGGATCACAGCGTGGTTCATGTTCCAAAGTTCGCAATTACAAGACTGCGCCATTGTAAACTCATTTCCTAAACGTCGCACTTCGAGCAGATGAAGCTCTCGTCGAAAAAATAATCAGCGACGGACTCACCCGGGCTGTCTCCGCCGGACCATCATCTCGTAGAGTGTGAATCGTCGTCATCAAGGAACACCATCTGTAGTTCTTCTGCCCATTTCGACCAAGTTTCCAGTTCGTTCCCGGTCGTTGGATGCCACTAGAGCCATCCCGCTCATTTTCGATGACGCAACAGCCAGCGCTATTCCATCGCTCCACTTGGACTGCGCTGCGCCGCCACCGTGTTGATATTGCCGCGAGCGCAGCTGACCAAACAGGCAGAGCGCCCGTAGCCTAACGGTTATCGCGCTTCCCTCCGCGCAGGAGGCCAGGGTTCAATTCCTGGCCGCGGCTACACATCTTTATTGACACTGTAATGTGATGTTCTGGTGAACTCGAGAACCGTCTTGCTGATTCGAGGTTAGAATGTTCTACGCGCCCAACCTTCTACGCCGAATGCTCCAGAAGTCCACGCGTGTAGAAAAGCGGCTCCGCGTGGCAAGCCGGAGTCAGGTTTGCCCCTGCGCTCAATCCTGCGGTTTCGCCGACATCGACGCCCGCGACGCTCTACTGTTTTCTTCGTTTCCCTTTTTATTTTTGGGCACAAGTTCGCCCCATTAAACGTTTAGTTTCTTCAGTTATTATCGCCTCATCACTTGTCATTTGTGACATTTTGGTGGAGGTGCGGGGTACCGCACGCCCGTGCAGCGTTCTCCCCCAAGGGCCCGCAGTGCAAGTCCGATTCCCGGCTTCGTGAGAAGACCGCTCAACGCGGAACCTGAAACTCAGATCAGCCGCCGCACCAAGGGAGAAAGGATCCTGAGTTCGTTTTGCTGCTGGACAAGCCCAAGCCGAAGAAGACGACGATGGCCAACCAGTCACAAGCCCCCGCCGCTTCTCCCGTCATCTTCATGCCCGTCGCACCGCGGACGGCTGCCCTCTTCCACGGTGAACTCTACGAAGACGTCGAGGATTGGATTGACTAGTACGAACCTGTCGCCCGCCACAATGGCTGGACCGACGAGCAGCGTCTGCAAAACGCGTATTTTTCGCTCGAAGGGACTGCCAGGTACTGGTACGAAAATCACGAGCCCTCTTTGACATCGTGGGATGTTTTCAAGAGCCAGATGAAGGCAACATTTCTCAACCAGCACCCCCGAGAGAGAGCCGAAGACCTACCCGAATGAAAAATCTATCAATGTAACCCTGTTTGGCAGTCAATTTTTTCTAGTGGACCGCTGACTGTGCCTGACTGTACGTCAAGCATGTCTGATTGGCCAACAAGTTACTCTGACCGACAGTCAAACTCCAGTCAGACTACGCTTGTCGGCTTTCTGATGGTTTCCTGGTGGCAGTCGACCGCCGCGAAATGCCATCAAGATGTCTTGGTGGCGATTCTGATTGTACATCGATTGTCTCTGACTGTACGTCAAAAAGCTTTGACGTGCAGACAGACGTACGGTCAAAGGACGTAAAGTTTGTTCGGATACCACTATTTCGTCAAATCTATGAATAAGAAAAATATTCTATGCACAAGAAGACGATTTCGGGACGTGAGCCCATAAAACCGCTGATGTTAGATATATGACACGCAGCCGACCGACAACCCTGATCAGAAGCCCGCCGAACACGCCACTTCGCTGACTTCGCTTCGCCCATAGGGGCTTCACCGAGCTTTCATGAACGATCGCTCTCGACTCGTTGTGTTTGCCCGCTTGCTCCAACCTGTCGATCCTGCCCGGGCTCTACAATGTCTTATGTTTTAGTAGAATTTCTACTCGACAAGACCCAGCCTGTTGTGAGTTCCGACGATGTAAGGGATTATAGCGGTGTAGTTGAAGACGACAAGGTGCACCAGGTCTACTGGGCCGGAGACGCGCCGAACAAAAGGATCGTTCTACGACGCGAAAGTACTCTACATGGCAGGTGAGTAGAACTGAAGTACGGCGAGTGATGTACGAGTGCTTTGCATAACATGCTGAAGACTTAAGCATTTGCAGCCGAAGCATCTCGTATAAAATGAATGGTCAAATCGAGTTTCGAAAGCGGTGGCATAGCGTAGGGGTTAAGGTGTCCGATTTGTACGCATCTGATGAACCATCAGATGACATCTGATGGTCCATCACGTTCCACC